GCTAAAAAACAGAGGACAAAATCTCCAGCAGGAATTCAAGCGATGATTCCGATGAGGGTGCAGTGTTTGGAGGACAATAGAGGTTAGTTTCAAGTCCGACCTGAGGGTCTATTCCAATTAGGGGCATCATGATGCAGTTATTCCAGAAAGCTACGGTGCCTCCTAGCCAAGGGGAGTGTAGGCAGACTAGGGGGTGAAGGGGGAGGGGGAGGTTTACGGACTACTTGGACTTTCTTCCATGGTCGTGCCATAATGGCGGAGGGCGCAGACCTTAGAGAACGGCGCCTGACTCGGCTCCAAATCCCAGGGAAGGAGGTGAGAGCTTATAGCTTCGAGGTGGGTGAGCCAACTACAGTGTGGCAAAAGTTTGAATGTATGTGATCACAATGGCCATGAGCCGCTGATAAGGTGAGAGAGCGCAGACGAGAGATGGATCTGAGGCGGCTTAAGGACCGGGTTCAAGTAGTCCGTCAACCGAGGGCTCCTCCCACTCCCTAACTGGGATAGAATCCGACCTGAAACCTATAAAAGTCCACGGTCCGTGTCGATAAACGAAAAGGGGAAGTTCGGGGTAAAGCACTCAAGAATACTAAATCCACCAACAATCATCGTCTTTTATTATAAAGTTTAGAGCCTCGGTGCTTCTGCTGGTTTTCCCTTCTCAAAGGCGAACTGGCTCACTGTCTTTTGAGGGGCTTGCTCTTTTGCAAAACTCGAGGACGACTGTAGTATATTTTTTTTATTAATTCACAAACTTAGCATTTCGCTCTATTGGAGCGAGGTGGTTCGCATCTTGTGGTTCGTGGTTTTGGGAAGGGGGGCATTCAAGGGATAAGTGAGATTAGTAATTTGTTGAGAGAATGGCGAGGAGATTTAGATTGGTATTTTGAGAGATTTGGTGGAGATTTAAGTGGCGCAGCGTGGGGTAGGATAGGTGGCAGATATTGAGAAAAATACAGAAAAGAAAGTAGGTCCAATACCACCACCCTTCTCCATACCTCGACCACCTCGCCATCATGGCTGCTTCTGTAGCATTTGATTCTGAGATCAGTCGACACAGCCCAACTCCGACCTACTTTTCTTCTCTATTTTCTCTACTCCCACCTATCCTACCCCACGCTGCGCCACTTACATCTCCACCAAATCTCTCAAAATACCAATCTAAATCTCCTCGCCATTCTCTCAACAAATTACTAATCTCACTCAATCCCCTGAATGCGACCCCCCTCCTTCCCAAAACCACAAATGCGACCCCCTCGTTCGAATAGAGCGAATGCACGGTAGACCATGGTTGGTACTAACTACAGTCGTCTCGAGTTTTGCAAAGAGGCAAGCCCCTCAAAAGACTGAGCCAATTCGCCTTTGGAGAAGGGAAACCACAGAGCACCAGCTCTAAACTTTATAATAAAAGACGATGATTGTTGGTGGATTTAGTATTCTTGAGTGCTTTACCCCGAACTTCCCCTTTTCGTTTATCGACACGGACCGTGGACTTTTATAGGTTCAGGTCGGATTCTATCCCAGTTAGGGAGTGGGAGGAGCCCTCGGTTGACGGACTACTTGAACCCGGTCCTTTAAGCCGCCTCAGATCCATCTCTCGTCTGCGCTCTCTCACCTTATCAGCGGCTCATGACCATTGTGATCTCACACATTCAAACTTTTGCCACACTGTAGTTGGCTCACCCACCTCGAGTCCCTCCCTCCTACAAGGCTTAGTCCTAGGGCTCTCACCTCCTTCCCTGGGATTTGGAGCCGAGCCAGGCGCCGTTCTCTAATCGTCTGTGCCCTCCGCCATTCGTGGCAGGACCATGGAAGAAAGTCCAAGTAGTCCGTAAACCTCCCCCTCCCCCTTCACCCCCTAGACTGCCTACACTCCCCTTGGCTAGGAGGCACCGTAGCTTTCTGGAATAACTGCATCATGATGCCCCTAATTGGAATAGACCCTCAGATCGGACTTGAAACTAACCTCTATTGTCCTCCAAACACTGCACCTCATCGGAACCATCGCTAATTCCTGCTGGAGATTTTGTTCTCTGTTTTTTAGCCACAGGATCATCAATACTTTCACTATGCTCAACCATTTGTGAAGAAATATTGGATACAGCAAAAATAGACCAGTACTCAGTAGCAAGTAGAGAAAAGTGCTAAAAAATTCTACAAAAATTCGCGCATTCAAAGTTGAACGGTTGCCAGAATTTTCATACACGCCACACGGTCGTTGCGTGTTTTGCGATGGTGAACGTGGAGGCTCCGCCCGGTTTTCCGCGCCCCGCACTTGTGTGTCGTCGGTCGGCGTTTCTCTCCTCATTCCCGGATGTTCCTTCATTATTCTTTTTATTCCTTTGAGAAATCCTCTCTTCCCTGCTGTTAACATGAAGGTCCTCGCTCTAGTTGGTTCAGGTGTAGTTCTGAAAGCTTCCTACAAACGTGCAGGGAAGGTTTCGTTTGCAGAAGTTTGTGCTTCCCGACCTCGTCTTTTTACTTTATCCTCTTCCAACTTTTTTAATGGGTTGAAGTCTAGTGTTTGTTTTGTTTAGGTATACTATTAGATGGTAGCAAGAAACGGTCAGGTTACGATGACGATTCTCAAGGCTCGTTTTGGAAGTGATGTGCGAAAGACTCCGCTTCATCATGGAAATGATCTCACCTTGAACGACCTGACTCTGATGCTACAACGAATTTTTAAAATCGGTTCTGCTGAGGCGATAGTGTTGAAGTATAAAGACAACGGTGGGTTATCATTTATTTGCCGTCTATTGTCATCTTTGCGTGGGTTTATGGCATGTCTGCTCACTCTGATCATCGGCAACGCTGCCTTGCAAATGTGATGGGTTCATTAAAATGAATTGTTCCAATATCGATTTGGCGCCGGCGATCGCAGCAAACTACTTGATGGGCATGCTTCCAGTTACTTTTTTCAGCGTTCTTTTGATGGATATCATGTGTTCTTACACATCGAGGAACACGTCATCAAGGGGTGTGCTGATGACGTTCAACTCGTTCGACTCGTTAGAGTAGGGTTAGAAGGGATCAAAATGCGTAAATTCGCCTGTCATGGAGATGGTTTGAAAGCAGGAAATCTAATTGCAAGAAGAGCTTCATTGGTGACCTTCTTAATTGGGGAAGGGCGATTGTCCCGCTGTAAAACTGGGTCATTGTTTTTCCGATGGGGGTTTGTCTGGTTGGATCAACTTATATCACTTTTCGATTAACGGACTCTGTGAACGACCTATCTCGATTTTTCCATGCAAGCGATAACGACATAGATAGCTGAGGCAGTTCCTTCAGTGGTTTTCGTTTT